CTGTATCTAGTTCTGGTCTCCTTGTTATAGGAAGGATATTGTTAAGCTGGAGTGGGTTTAGATGAGATTTACCAGGATGTTGCTGGGAATGGAGGATTTGAGTTATCAGGAGAGCTGGATAGGCTGGGCCTCTTTTCACTGGAGCGTAGAAGGTTGAGAGGTGACCTCATAAAGGTTTATAAAATCTTGAGGGGTATAGATAAGGTGAATGGCAGGTGTCTTTTCCCTAGGGTGAGGGATTTGAAGACTAGAGGAGAAATTTTTAGGGTGAGAGGAGAAAGATTTAAAAAAGACATGGGGGCAATTTTTTTTAAAACAGAGTGGTTCGTGTGTGGAATGAACTTCCAGAGGAAGTTGTGGATGCAGGTACAGTTATAACGTTTAAAAGATTTAGATAAGTACATGAATAAAAAGTGTTTGGAGGGATATGGATATTGTTTGGGATTATGGTTAGCACAGACTGGTTGGACAAAGAGTCTGTTTCCATGCTGTACGATCCTATTACTCTTAAAATAAGACACCAAATGGGAAAAGAACCAGGAAGCTACACTAATTAGACAATTTAAATTAACATACACACAGCATTAAATCCATATCAATATTCCACATTTGTCTTGTACACCTGTTTATTGATCCTGTGTTTAGTTATGGCTGCGAGCAGGAACTAAAAATTAGAGGTCATTGCTGACTTTTCTGATTACACCATCGCTGCCATGAAACAAAACTATCACCTTGGTCACTGAATATATAATTCAAGGAGAGTTCAAACTCATCACGTACCAGACACATGAAAGGGGAATGTGCAAGGATCCTTAACGTGGCACAACTTTAAACACTACCAAGTCAGGGAAATGCTTTGGCATTTTTATCTTAAATTTTTAATTTAAATTTTTATGAAATATATTTATTCCTTCCTTTGTGTATCCAGCTGCCCACCTTTAACATCTGATCATGAGGTGCAAACTGCTCCTATGATTTCACAAATAACTCTTGAGTTGCCTTTTAGGTTATGACTGGGGCGGTTTGTACTGTTCAGCTATCAAATCAGCCTGTCTCAGACCATTGCTAAGGTCCTTTGCATCAAGAAGTTATTTCCATAGTAATTCTTTGGCTTATTTGGAAGCAAACCAAATTGGAAGTGTTTGAATTTTCTGATAGCTGCTTCTGCCCTGGGAAAAAGCCAGAAGACAATTGGTGTACAATTTTGTCCATTCCACAATTTGACTTCCTTGTAGAAAAGTACATGGGTTCAACTTAGAGCTTCCTGAACTAGTTATTGACAACTTGCCACATAAGAATTGCCATATGTTTAGGTATTTTGCAAATGTTATTGGTCAAGTGAGTTTGTCTCCTTTAATACAGTCAAAAATATGACAGTTTGCATACTATGTCCATTGCTGTTTCAAATAGTAATTCATGGAATAACAGTATGGACATTTAACCCTGTCACAGCAAAAACATATTGATAAATATCCCACAGATAATGGAACTGCCAACGCTGGAGAATCTGAGACAACAAGGTGTAGAGCTGGATAAACACAGCAGGCCAAGCAGCATCAGAGGACCAGGACCCGAAACATCAGCTTTCCTGCTCCTCTGATGCTGCTTGGCCTGCTGTGTTCATCCAGCTCTACACCTTGATAAATATCCCAAGGTGTTTTGCAGGAGCATTATCAAATAAAATTTGACATCAAGCCACATAATGTGATATCAGGTCAAGACAAAATCTTGGTCAGAGACAGGTTTTAAGGAGCATCTGAAAGAAGCAGAGAGCACTCCAGGGGTTTAGAAAGGAATTTCAGAACTTCAGGCCCAAGCAGCTGATGGCACGGCTGCTAAAGGTAGAATGAATAAAAATGGTCTGTCCAAAGGTTGGACTGGGGAAGCAAAGAGATCTCAAAGGATTACAGAGATAGTAGGAACTGCCGATGCTGGAGAATCTGAGATAACAAGGTGTACAGCTGGATGAATACAGCAGGCCAAGCAGCATCAGAGGAGCAGGAAAGCTGACGTTTCGGGTCGAGACCCTTCTTCAGATCTCAAAGGATCGTCGTGCTGGAGGAGGTTGACAGAAATGGCAAGAAGGCAGACCACAGAGAGATTGGAAAACAAGGATTAGAATTTTAAATATTGCAGGGAGTTGGGAACCAGTGTTGGTCAATGAACACGCCAGTGATAGCAACTGTTGAGTTAGGAAATGAGCAGCTCAAATCCAGACAAGCTCAAACGTATAAAGGCCCCAGGTAGGAAGCTGACCAGGGAAGCACTGGAACAAGTTTTGGAACATGCTAATTGCACATTCATAAAAAAGACATGGCAAGTGATCTGACTGAAAAGTAAGACTTTCTCCATTTCATAGCATAAGCTACATGTGTTGGTTAAATATGCTACGCCAGCCAGGATTGCTCTTGAATCCTTATGATTCCAATTACACAACCATAGATATTGGCTGCAGCACAAGCAGTTAAATTGCTTGCTTTGCAATCAAAGAAGGGGACATGTAGAACATTCACTAAACTATGCTTTTTAAATACAAGGACTATATCTGGGAGTGCACAATCTCACTGCTATATCTTTTCATTAGATGTCTTACTTTGCACAAAACACATCAGAATGGAATACCCCGAAACAACAAACACAAGAACCTAACAAGCCAGGCGTTTCCTGCTTGTCTTCTGGCTTTTCCCCAGGGCAGAAGCAGCTATCAGAAAACTCAAACACTTCCAATTCAATTTGCTTCCAAATAAGCCAAAAAAAAACAATGGAAATAATCTTGATGCAAAGGCCCTTAGCTGTGGTCTGAGACAGGCTGACTTGATAGCTGAACAGTACAAACAGCCGCAGTCATATGATAGGCTACTCCAGAGCAATACCATGGAAGATCAGCCAGTAATCAATAAAAGGCTTGAAAACTGAATGTATCTGTTTATGGAGCCAAGTGGAATTGTAAAAGCTACAAGCTTTATTTAGCAATGACAGATGCAATTCCAAGTGATAACCAACTACACATTCAAAGTGCAGTGATCACATAGGCACAAGTTATGTGCACAGCATTGTGTTGACTGAGGCATGCCAGAACCAATGCCGTCTGCATAAAACAGACATGTATTCTGCAATACCACAAACATGTTCAAGTCCAATGTTGTGAACACAGCAGAGAGTGTCAAATGTTGGACAAACAGCATGATAACCTTTTGAAATATTTCAAACCAATGGGGTGATGACAGTGTTGTGATAATGTCACTGCACTAGTATTCCAGAATAATCTAGTCTAATGCTCTGGGGACAAATCTCACTACAGCAGCGGGTGGAATTTGAATTCAGTTAATGAATATGGAATATAAAACTGTCATTGTTGTAAAAATCCATCTAATTCATTAACTTTTTTAACGAAGAAAAATCTGCATTCCTAACCTGGTTGGCCTACATGTGAGTCTAGAACGACAGCAAAGTCGTGACTCTCAACTGCTCTCTGAAATGCCTTGTTAGCCACTCAATTCAATGATAACTAAGAATGGCAACAAATGCTACATTTGCCAGCAATGCCCACATTCTATTTAAGAATGAAGAAAAAATAATTCCACATACAGAACACAGAAGTATAATTTCATACATCATTCTGCAAGCACATCTGCAATGGTGCTTTAAATATCACACAGCAATGAACAAATTTTACTACAGCCAAATGACAAATCAATACCAACAAGCATCTAACTCCAACTCAATGCGTTTCATTCATCATATATTCACAAAAGTGCAAGTTAACATTTAACTCCAACAATGACAGATCAGGGAGATAGCTCTTGGTTTAGCAGAACTCACATAGCACAGCACATGAGCACAACTAGCCTAATGGTGATAGCAGCATTGGCCTGCCAAATCAGCATAAATACATAATAATTGTAAATGAAATATCCAGTTTTCAGCAACTATCTGCTGAAAAATGACAACAGCCATAGTGTCAGACTTTTGGCAACCTGAACAAAGCATCAGTTCTGCAAATAAAATGGCAAAATGTATTAAAATTAAAGTTGTTCTTTGAGTTTCATTACATCTATCAGCATATTTTACAATAAATATTTATAACTGAGGAGGGGGAGTTGGACTGATTAAGCATTTAAGAACAGAGCAACTGAAAAAACATATATATTTAAGAATATTACCAAGTTAAGAGGATGGATCATTTCTGTTGTGCTCCTGTAGTGATGTCAGTGCAGAGGGGTGATGGTGTGTGTGATTAGATGATGGGGGTTTGCGGTGTGCTGTTCCAGAGCAGGCCCATCACCACCAGGCAGTCAGTAAAGGAACCAGGCTGTGAGCTCCATAACAACAGCATCTCTCCCAGGGGCACCCCCACCCCCACTCACACACAGAGGAAGCCAGGGTTCAGGAGGAGACTAAACACAGAGCCAAACTCACACAGACATACAGTCCAGACCTGCCCCAACCTCTCCTGCCCTCTCTCTGTTACCAAATGGCTCTTTCCCCCTCAGTTTGAATGTTAACCCAGGGTTCCACTCACAAGATGGAACAAAGGCGCCTCCTCCACCAACAACTGACTCTGAATTCAGTCAACAGCACATTCAACACAGTCTACACTGCATTCATTTCCTGGAATAAAATACGCAAGGCGCAAAGAGGAAAATCTGACTAGAAATATATGCATCGCGGTGATTTGCCCTGCTCGATTTATTATGGGCGCTCACAAGCAACTATATTTTCCAGCTGCCTGAATTATGAGAATGAATGAAAGAGGCGAATCTGCTGGGAGCGATCGGGAGTGACAATCCGGAGAGTAAATGAAGTGACAGGTTTGTCATGCGCACATTCGAAAGAATTAATTCGGAAACAGACACTCAACGGCAGGGCAGCTAAGTGGAAATAAAATAACGAATAACACGGTGTAAACAAAAGGGGAGGCCGCCGTGTTTCTTTCTATTTGAAACGTTGGTTGCCGGCATGATTCAGACGAATCGGTGGACGCGGATGGTGAAGTAAGTGGAGGAGTTTGCGGTTGGTGAGGGATCCGGGGCGGGGCTCCTGTAAATTAGTTAAAATGTAATGACTTCAGCTCGCTGTAATGTCTCTGGGCAGGAAGCCAAGATCGGCGGGGGAGCGGCAATGGGCAGTGAGAGGGCGGTGCGGTTTCCAGGGAAACCGGTTCCTCTCACCGGAGGCGCAGTGATCGCCGTGAGGGTTAAAGGTCAGAGCTGGGAGTGGGGAAAGGTTATGGAGCCAGAGGCACTCAGCAGAAATGCGGCTATTGGCGAGAGGATCAGCACAAAAACTTCAACCCGGCCTTAGGAATCTATGCTATAATTACCACCGAAAAGAATCTTGTATATGTATGTAAAAAATAAGAACCTTGTCGCACGGAGGAGTGAGAGGTGAATTACTCCTAACCTGAAAGGCCAGTAATTTCTCTCGTGAAGGGGGATGGGTCAGTCTGATGAAGCTGGAGAAAGTGACTGTTGTGTTCTTAGTGCAACAGAGATATTACATTGTCACAGAATCACAACTGTGTGGAAGCAGGCCATTCAGCCCATCGCGTTCACACCACACTCCACCTCACACCCCCCAACCCTGTAACCCTGTATTTCCTATGCCTAATCCATCTAACGTTCACATACCTGGACACCAGGAGCAATTTAGCATGGCTAATCCACCGAACCCGCTCATCTTTAGACTGTGAAGAAATGATTGATATAAGAAATAAATGAAGGTGTAAATTCTATGCATAGAGGCATAGAAGATAGGAACAAGAGTAGGCTGTTTGATCCCTCCAAGTCTGCTCCACGTTAAGTATGATATATATTAAATATGGTATACAGTGTTTGAATAAGTGCCACAAAGCAAGCATGAAACATTCCAGAAAAGTGCAGGTCTTTTTGAGACTTTGGAGGCATCATTAATGTAAAATTGCCAAATACTTGGAAGATAGAAAGTAAGACAATGAACTGTGTACCAGAAGAATTTATAAAAGTGTCAATTTTAATTGAGAAAATGTAATTAATGTAATCTGTAATCACAATGTTGAAGTATATAATTGTCTCATTAAAATAAGCCTTGCATATTTGTACTTCTTAGTGAAGTAATTGTCTTTTTAGTAATATTTAGTAATATTATATGATGCAATTCATTGTTGTAATTTAGTTTAGAATTGGCTTTTATAAAAATATTCATAAACCATTACTGTAGTCACATACTGAATTTTTCACAAGCCCCTATCTAGAAAACAACACCCCTGAATTCTTAATTTACCATTTTAAATGTTTATATTGATAAACTTAAAAAATGAATTATTTCTGCTAATATAGATCTGTATTTTATTCACTCAATGATTTTGCTCATTTGGAAACTCTGGTGATGTGGTTGTGGGGAGCATTTCATTACAGGACACAGTTTATAACTGGTAATGCTGACTCTGTATCCTTTAAAGATGTGAAATTTCTCTTAGTTGATGTTTTAAACTGACAATAAGTTTGACTGGGTAGGTTTATCTTGCCAGGGAATAAAGATGGTAGACCATTAAAAGTATGTTGATAGAACAGGATTTAAATTATAACTGTCAATGAATGTTAGTGAGATTTGAAGGCAAGTTTTTACAGTAAATTGTTAAACTGAGAAGAAAATTGATGTTGTTCCTGCTTCTGGAACAACTCAATTGCATTCTTTAGATGATGTCTTGAATGGATGAATTGGTATGTGTGGAATGCAGTGAATAGGGAGAGCTGCGACATTGCACTGCCAGTTGGTGAAGGACTGTTTGCAACCTTAGTTCAACCCAAGATGAACATTCAACCATTTACCTGGAAAATTACTATGATCACTATTTCAATCTCTGTAATTATCGCTTTATTGAAATCATCTCATTCACACCTATATAGACATGACTGTGTCAACATTCGCCTGGCTGCCCTTTCACATTCTACCATCCTTGTACTGGAAGTCATCTAAAGAACACAGGCAGCAGAACTGACTCTCGCCATATCCTATTTATCAATCACCTCTGAGTTTGCTGACTTATATTGGCTCCCAGCTAACAAACACTTAAATTTTAAAATGCTCATGCGCTCCCCTCCCTATCTTTGTGATTTCCTTTAACCTTACATCCCTCCGATATCTGCACTGCTCCAAATTATCTGGCTTCTTGACTATTCCTAATTTTAAGCATACTAACATGGATGACACTGTTTTTAGCTGCCTACACATTGGAATTCCTTCCCTAGACCCATCTTCCTCATTTTTTCTCTCCTTTTTGCTTACCCCTTAACCAAAGTCCCCAGCCTAATATCTCCTTATGTGGCTTGCTGTCACATTTTGTTTGATAATGTTTCTATAAAGCACCTTGCCATTTTACTACATTTAACATTCTATCTAAATGCTGGCTAGTATTAACATTGCTGCATGAGGTCTGTAAGTCACATTTGTCTCTGTATTCACAGGTTATTTGTAGCTCTGGCTGAATAATATCACTTTTGAAGTGAACCCGGAGATGAAGAGGCAGCTGCTCAGTGTGATGTGCCCCCGTGCTTCTTGCTTCCATATTGCAAGAAGCAACAGTCTCCAAGTGCGAGTTTACTGCTCACAGCCCACCCAGAAATCAGTTACCAAGACTCTAAATGAAACTACCAATGCCACACAGCTGAAGTGGGTGGAACTGAGCAAAGATTTAAGCAAAAAGACTGTTGAGCATATTCGAATCACAACCAATTCCTTGTGGGAGAAATATGAGGAGTTTGTTGGACTGAAAGAGGTGCAAGTAGCACAGCTCAAAGTCACTGAGGTAATGTACTGCTTTTATTTGCCATTTATGACTATATGCTAATACTATTATAACCTGTGGCCTAGGTAGCATTGAACGAGTGGACTGTGAAAAGCACCTAAAGAGATTAAACCTGTTCTCATTGTTTTATTCCTGGTCTGTGCTGAATTCATTGCTCTCCAGTAGAGGCACACTAAGTGAGGGAGTTAAAAAGTCAGGGGTCCTGTGCATCATCCAACATAAGACCATAAGAAATAGGAACAGAAGTAGGGCATTCAGCCCCTCAAGCCTGCTCCACTATTCAATAGGATCATTGCTGACCTAACATTCCTCAGATCCATATTCCCGTCCCTTCCCTGTAACTCTTGATTTCCCAATGAGAAGAAGAGTGACCCTTGTTGAATGCACATATCAAATGAATGTAAAGAGCTTACAAGCAGTGATTTTATTGTTTATTTACATGTACATGTTTCAAAAAAACAATGCTGGTAATCTGAATTTGCAACTGAAAGCAGTGGACACAATCATCAGGTCAGGTAGCATCTGGAAAGTAACAACATAAGTTAACCTTTCATTGGAACTGAAATACTGAGGAAATATTTTTCATCCTTGGATCCTGGTGTGTCAACTGATAAAATGGGACTCGATATAAGTCAGGAGCATGCTTTGGTTGTTGCTTGATGTCAAAACCACTGAAAGCAAGAATCATTAATAATAATACATCATTACCAAATAGTATCCGTGTGTTACCTTTGACAAAGTTTTTGGTCACCTGTGACTCAGTGTCAAATTTTGTTTATTAATACTCCTCTGAGATGTTTTGCAGCATTTAAAGATGACATGTAAATGCTACCTTCTTCTAGCACCCTTAAGTGAGACCTGATCAGGCGTACCCTAGAATTCTGTGGGAAGCTAGGGAAGTGATTGCTGGGTCCTTTGCTCAGATATTTGTATCATCGATAACCACAGGTGAGGTGTTGGAAGACTGGAGGTTGGCTAACGTGATGCCACTATTTAAGAAAGATGGTAAGGAAAAACCAGGCAGCTATAGACTGGTGAGCCTGACATCGTTGGTGGGCAAGTTGTTGGAGGGAATCCTGAGAGACAGGATTTACAAATATTTGGAAAGGCAAGGACCGATTAGGGATAGTCAATGTGGCTTTGTGCATGGGAAATCGTGTCTCACTAACTTGATTGAGTTTTTTGAAGAAGTAACTAAGAGAATTGATGAAGGCAGAGCAGTGGATGTGATCTTTCTAGACTTCAGTAAGGCATTCGACAAGATTCCTCATTGTAGACTAGTTAGCTAGGTTAGGGAGAACCAGCTATTTAGATATTGAACTGGCTCAAAGGTAGAAAACAGAGGGTGATGGTGGAGGGTTGCTTTTCAGATTGGAGGCCCGTGACCAGTGGTGTGCCACACAGATCGGTGCTGGGTCCACCGCTTTCGTTATTTACATAAATGATTTGGATGGGAACATGGGAGGTATGGTTAGTCAGTTTGCAGATGACACTAAAATTGGAGGTGTAGTGGACAGCGAGGAAGATTACCTCAGAGTACAATGGGATCTTGATCAGATGGGCCAATGGGCCGAGGAGTGGCAAATGGAGTTTAATTTAGATAAATGTGAGGTACTGCATTTTGGAAAGGCAAATCAGGGCAGGACTTGTACACTTAATGATAAGATCTTGGGGAGTGTTGCTGAACAAAGAGACGTTGGAGTGCAGGTTCACAGTTCCTTGAAAATGGAGTCACAAGTAGATAAGATAGTGAAGGAGGCATTTGGTATGCTTGCCTTTTTTGATCAGTGCATTGAGGATAGGAGTTGGGAGGTCATGTTGCGGCTGTACAGGACATTAGTTAAGCCACTGTTGGAATACTGCGTGCGGTTCTGGTCCCTTGAAAGGGTTCAAAAAAGATTTACAAGAATGTTGCTAGGATTGGAAGGTTTGAGCTTTGGGAGAGACTGAATAGACTGGGACTATTTTCGCTGGAGCATCGGAGGCCAGAGAGTGACCTTATAGAGGTTTGTAAAAGCATGAGGGGCATGGATAGGGCAAATAGACAAGATCTTTCCCCCGGGGTGGGGAATCCAAAACTAGAGGGCATAGGTTTAAGGTGAGAGGGTAAAAATTTAAAAGGGATCTAAGGTGCAACTTTTTCACACAGAGATTACCATTAAGTGTATGGAATGAGCTGCCAGAGGAAGTGGTAGAGGCTGGTACAACATTTAAAAGGCATCTGGATGGGTATATGAATAGGAAGGGTTTAGAGGGGTATGGGCCAAATGCTGGCAAATGGGACTAGATTTATTTAGGATATCTGGTCGACCTGACGAATTGGACTGAAGGGTCTGTTTCCATGCTATATATATCTCTGTGACTCTATGACTCTAAGTCAGATAAACATACTTAGTCATTACAAGACACTGGAACTGCCCAAAGTAAACTAGAGTTCTAGAGTAAGAAGGCTCACTATACCAAGCTTGTTTTGATTGACTGATGAATGCTCTACTTCTATCAGGCAGAGAAAGCTTTCATGGTGGCTCGAGGTGTTGTTCGACAAAGTCGGGAAACCCTTGAAAATCAACAGTTGAAACTGAAGGAAGTTCGAGATAGATTAGACAGAGTCTCACGAGAGGACAGTCACTATCTAGAACTGGCCACCCAGGAGCATAAACTGCTGCAGGTGAGAAAATAGTTTTACTTTTGCTGTTTTACTTCTGTGGGATTTTTTATTACATGTTCCTGTTAACATGTAGGCTGTTTGTAATTTAAAACAGTAAAAAGCATTTGACCTGTATGTTATGTTATGTTTTAAGAAACAAATAATGGGACGACAGTGAGAGTTATAGAGAAAGTTAAGGACCTTGGAGAGATTGTCCTTCCCTGAAATTAGCAGGAGAAGTCGATACAGTGGCTTCAGAAGGCCTAAGAAATCCTTTCCCTTATTAACCATCTTATAAAACATATAAGAGCAGAGAGATTTTGCTGGAACTGTATAAATCATGAAAACTGAAAGAACTGCGGATGCTGTAAGTCGGGAACAAAAACAAAGCTGCTGGAAAAGGTCAGCAGGTCTGGCAGCATCTGTGGAGGAAAAAACAGAGTTAGCATTTCTCGTCCAGTGACCCTTCCTCAGAACGTACAAATCATTGGTTAGGCCACAACGTCAGAGACAGAAAGAGGCCACTTGGCCCGTTGTGTCTGTGCCAGCAAGAAATGTAACTGTGCTGCCTAATCCCACTTTCTAGTCTTTGATTTGTAAAACTGGGGTTTTCACCATGCAGTTCTGGTCACATCAGTACAGAAGTGATGCATTTGCCCTGGGGCAACTACAGAGGATATTTACAAGAATGTTGCTAGAACTGGAAAGTTGTAACAATGAGGGAAGTTTGCATAGGCTGTTGTTATCTCTTTGGACCAGAGGAGGCTGAGGTGAGGTTTGATTTGAGATGTACAAAATTGTGAGGCAAGAACTTGCTCCCTTAGCAGAGTGCTCAGTGACTGTGAGATGTAGAGATAGAGTGAGTAGGACAAGGGTTGGGGTGATCAGGAAATTTTTTTTTTTGCCGAGTGGGTGGTAAGGGTCTGATGCATCCTGCTGGTTTACAAATCAAAGACTATTAAGTGGGATTAGGCTGGACAGTTCATTTTTTGGCTGCATGGATGCAATGGGCCAAATGGCATCTCTCTGTGCCATGAACGTTCTAGGTTTTTTAAAATCAGTTTACTCGGAGTTGCTATTGCACATCCCTGGAGCAGGTGGGACTCATACCTGAGCCTTTTGGCTCAGACATAGGCACGCTGCCACTGCAGCACAAGAACCCTGGATATTTTCTAATCAACTGTTACAGAGATGTTATGACACACTTCTGGAGGAGGTGGATTTGAACCCTGGCTCAGAGGTAGGGTATCTAGGATTCTGCCATTAACATTCTATAATGGTAATATATGATAGAATTCAGGTTCTGAATTTTCTGGGCTCAACTTCCTGTTTTTATCTGCATTACTTGCCCCCTCATGTAATATTTCCTGTCCTCCTTTCTTAAATGGAAAGAGTAAAATTAAACTTTCTTATAATTTTTCTTTTCTAATCAGGAAGAAAGACGGCACCGAACAGCATACGAAAATGCAGAGGAGCTGGAACGTGAGACATTCGCTCTCTTTTCTGCAGCAGTGAGAGAAAGCCATGAGAAAGAGCGGACTAGAGCAGAGAGAACAAAAAACTGGTCTGTGATTGGGTCCGTGTTGGGTGCTATGATCGGGGTTCTGGGATCAACCTACATCAACAGAGTTCGATTGCAGGAGCTGAAGGGATTACTTCTTGAGGCACAGAAAGGGCCAATTAACTTGCAGGAAGCTCTTAAAGAGCAAGCCTCCATACACCAAATTCAAAGCCAAAAACTCAATACACTTGTAACAAGTCTGAAGGAACTAGTACATGACAAAAGTGCATTTCAGCAAGCAGGTAAGGAGGCCACCACGAATCTGAAAAAAACAGAATCTGGTCTCAAACCAGATCACGTTATGGATGCTTTGAAGAAACAAGCAAGCTCTGCAAAACAGACGAGTGCAGCATTAGAAGGACTAGAACTGAAATTAAATGGTCTGGAACAAGCAATTGGGAAGGTTGCATCTGACATTAGGACAGTAAAATCTGTCACACAAGCTAAGGCATCACAGACTGTTTCTTCAGGATTGACACAGGATTGGCAGATTCTTGCTACGGAGAATATGATTGATGGGTTAGCAGAGACGGAGAAAAGGCTAGAATCTCATATCCGAGCAAGTTCTTTGTATAACACAATGCTGACATATGCTGCATTTGCACTCACACTGCCAGTGTTATACGTGCTCTTCAAAGGAAATTGAAAGAAACTGTCGTGCATGAATGTAGCATGTAGGCATTATGCTGTTTGAGAAAAGTAGATATTATTTTCTAGTAATTGGGACAATTAGTTTTGGCAATTGAAGTGTTTTTTTTTTAATTTTGAGAGGTATTATTTTGATCTTGTTCTTACTCTCGAAGGAAAGAACCTGTGCTTAAATAGCCTCTTGCACCCTTCGGATATTTCACCAATAGATAGCTTTAGAAATGCAGTCACTGTTCTTATGCAGATCATTCAGTGTTGCTAACAATCTGAACACTGGAATAAGAAGCTCCACATCCAAGGATTCATTTCATTTTCACTTTAATTTCCATTTAGAAAATTCCGCAGGAATGTGACTGTAGTTGAACATCTGGCTCAATAATACTTTTCTACCTGCTTCCCATATCTCTCGATTTCTCGTGAGGCCACGCAACATTTGCCCACCACAACATTAAGTATAATCAACAATGGAACATATACGCCTTTCAGGTAGACAATTCCAAAGAACCATAGCCCTTTGAATGAAGAGATTTTTCCTTGTCTCAACTCTAAATGATAGACTCCTTGTCCTGAGCTTGTCCCCCATTTCTCCAGCCAGGGAGAATTTTTCAGTGTATTAATTTTCAGAGTCTACCATGCTTCAATAAAACAACCTCCTACTCTTCGCACCCCCAGAGAATGTGGACTGAAGTTACTCAACTTCTTATCATTCAGTCTTCTCAGCCCAGGGACCAACCTAGTGAACCTTTGCTCCACCACCTTCAGTGCAGGTATATCTTTCCTTAAACATAGAGGACAGAAATGCACGCGGTATTCTGTGTATAGTCTCACCAAAGGACTCTTCAATTGGAGCAAGACTTCCATTATTCGTGTACTCCAATCCCCTTGCAATAAGGATCAGCATGTCATTTGACTTCCTATTTGCTTGCTGTACCTGCATACTAACTTTAAGTTAGTTTTTGTATAGTAAGCACAAGCTGCTTCATAAAATTATTCGCAACAGATAAGCTCAGCAAATTTACATGATGAAACCACAATCAGTTCAAGAATTAAGAATTAATCTTCCAGGCATCAGGTTTGGAATTTAATCCACTGATTAAATAAATTGTTTGCTGCTCAACCACCGATAATAAACATTTTGTTCAAGAGATACTTTTAATGCAGTGAAATTTTTATTTCAAAATACACCAGATACATGAGCACTTGTTTTGCTACCTGGAAGAATAAACTTTAATTGTACGGAAAGGTTTAAAATCAAGCTTTGCAATTGTCCAAATGATGAAAGGTTCTGATATTTTTCTTAAAAATGATTCTAGAAAGAAGTCAGGCAACTTGCACAATTTCTGACTCCTGCAAGGTTTAAAAATATTTTTCCATGATGTTTAGTGATATCACGCAGTCCCTGTGTTATGATTGATATATAGTTCCAGCATTCAACACCAGTGCTCACCAGTCCATGCAGTTTTCTGTATTCCTAATGCAAAGCAGGGAGTCCAGTAGAAAAGGCCTTTTAAATACGTTCTCAAAGGTCGGTATCCCGTTACCAAGTTACCCTTTATTTACACGTGCATCATACACAACACTGACCAAGCTAGCTCAAGGCTGGCTCTTGAAGTAAGCAAAGCCCTGACAATCCTGTTTATATCTGTCAGCCAGGAATCCCTGATGGACACTGTTAACCTATTCTATGAGATCCACCTGGCTGACCTTTGTGTCAGCAGTGACTGGAAAGGTGTCCAGAAAGTTTAAAAACAGAATGGACTATTCTAGTGGCAGCACTAGATACACCGATGGTGTATCCACCAGTGGGAGGCAGCTCAACATCTGCATTCGCCAATTGGTACCCTGGACGGTATTTCAACTTGTAATTCTATGCACTCAGAATAAGACCCCACCCCTGAATTTGACCTGAAGCTATGGGCAGTGCGGTCCTGTCCAGTTTAAGTAGCCCTGGCAAGGGTTTGTGGTCTGTTAATATTATAAATTGATGTCTGTAAAGGTATTGGTGAAACTTTGTCCAATTTCTCTAAATTCTCTTTATTGATCTTCTGGTTTATTAGCATGTCATCCAGATAAATGGCAACCTGGGTAGACTGTGTAAAATGTTCTCCATTGTATGCTGGAAAATGGCATTAGAACCGGGTGACCATTTACCCAGACGTTTATTTTGATTGGCTCTGATTTGGATGTTGCTGAGGAATTTAAATGTTCCAAGCCAGCAGTAGGTGGATTTTCCACGGTGTGCCCTCTCCTGGATATCCGCCTATGAATTCCCTTACTCAGTTCAGGCCAAGTGGGACTCTTTTACTGCCTCATGCCCGCATACTGGCAGCAGCTACAATGCCTGCCGGCCCGGATCCTCAAGAAAAGTTTGGTCAAGGCTTGGCTGTGTTTTGGAGTTTTGCTGTGGGCTGACCTAGAGTCCATCTGTTCAGGATATGTTCTGAGTGAGGCTATGCAATTGCCTTGACTCAAGTGGTGTCCCCCAATCTCAGTCGACCTTGCAAGGGTGTCCACTTCCATCAGCATACCTTGTAACTCCTAAGCTCCACTTGCCGTATTTTTAAATGACAAAGCCAGTTGTGGTGCCTGTTTGAAGTCCAGTTAGGCTTCAGCTAGTAGGTGCTTTTGCATGATACATCATTAATCCCATTCACATCTCCACTGAACTTACTCCACGAAGGCTGGTGTTCCATCACCATACTGCCCTTTATTTACACGTGCATAGTACATGACATTGATTCAGCTGGCTCCTAGGGTAAGCAGAACCCCTGACACACTTGTTTATATATGTCAGCCAGGACTCCCTGATTGGACCAGGTAAACATCACTAATCAGGAAACTCATTCTATGAGATCCACCTGGCTGAACTTGTTATAATAACTATAGCCTTGCATATCCATTCAGTGCTCTCATGACAGGACATAAGAGTGAAATGATTGCTGCACTATCCTTTTCACCTATCAATCATCCTGTATGAAAAGATTATTTTCTGATATTAGCCAGTTTTGTTTCTCTGTCCTGCTACTCCACTGTCATAATTTACAGCAGTGTTCTGAAATAGCATTTTCCATAGTGTTTATCAGGGAATAAAACATTTCCTCCTAAAGATGCAAGCTGGATCTCCTGTTCCAGTGTGTGAGATATCAAAAATAAAGTTGGTGGAGTATTTCACCATGAACTTTATAAGCAGTGGTGTACAGAAAAAAACTTGAATGTTTTTTTCTTTACTATGCGCTCTTTGCTCAGTGGCACTGAGGCCACTTGTAGCACACCGACAGGTGTTTCTCGGCACAGACCAGTATCATTTGTACCTCTCGGTACAGACCAGTATTATTCATGTCTCGGTGGATCAGTGTGCTGTTTGAGTTTAACCCAAAACACTTTGAGAAAAGTCTTCATCTCAATTATTTGTGGCCATTTTTCCAGCTTTTCCCTGTATCAAAGGGTCATCACATGCTGTTGTGCTGGTTTAAACTGTGGCTTCAGCTCAGATTCCATGATAGTAACTATTTTGACGAATTTAGTTTATACATGGATAAACATTCTGAAACATATTAAAATATTTTGATGTTGACTTATTTGAAATCAAGCCCTACTTTTCATTTTTAGTAACTTGAAACCTGCCTGCAGCCGAAACTTAATTTACCTGATTTGAGTTATATTCGATAAAAGTATTACCAGTTGGATATTATGGAATTGATTTTATGTGAACTGACAGCAAATTGGGTTTTTAAAGAAATATGTACAAGAGTAGTGGTTGGGTTGGGAGAATATATAAGAATTTAAGAAAATGACAGGAAGGAACAGCTGGTCAGTCAGTCCTGTCCCACAAATGTGATGGCTGCATATCCTCAGTAGATGGAGCAGTGGCTTGTTTTAGGCCTAATTGGGCTTATAATCAGTATTGACTGGGCTCTAGAGTGGATATTGCATGACTGCTCACACTTAGAAACAAAACAATTTTGTAGACCTTGCATTCCCTGATATTAAATGACACACAAACACTAATAATTGCATGAACAAGACGAAGCACTTTTCTTAAGCGTACAATGGTTTGTTGTTTTCACAGAGCTTTAAAGTATGCTTTTCCTGAGAAAAGAACAGCTCCTGCTCCTGTTCAGAAGCCAATAATCCCTGTTGTAAGTCTCCTTGTCAATTGTGGTGAAGCCAGTTCTCCAAGCCAAGCATTGAACAAATGCAGCAGGCTTAAAGCTGCAACGAACTGTAAAGATTAATCCCCAATTGGCCACATAATGTCGTTACAACAATTGGGTGAATACTCTAAATTCTCTGTTTTTATAGAATGTGGCATACAGACCATGCAGATGAATCTGTTGAATATATATATATTGCAGCTAGATACTCATACATGCTACATTGTATTCAAGTTAATAACAAATCCACATGTTGTAAGGACATAGGCATTCCAAGTTTTGAATAATGACAAACAATGATAATTCTACACGTCATGAGTTATATAGTTTCTTTGTGTTAGACAGAAAGAATTGTTTTAACTGGCTGAAAGATAAGACTTTTTTTTTAAAAAGTAGATTTTATGAAGTAATGATGAACTGATTCAGTTTTCAATTTCAATTTCAATTTTAGAGGTCAAAGATCAAAAGGTAAGACTGAGGAATTTAAGAAGTTCCACCATTTTAATGTCTTGGAAAGTAGAACAGTAATAGAACATCTTAGTGTTGAGTTTGTTCCTTCTTGCCTTTTTTTTTAAATGGGCAGCAATTTGTTTGAACTTGAAGCACACAAGAGGAAGATGTGACGTGCATTCACCAGAATATCAAATAAAAAATGTAAGTGATTGTCATGGATGTTCAGCGTAAGAAAGATCTTTTCTTTCTCCATAAGAAAGCGACAAGAATGGATTCCCCAAGATGAAACTGAAGCTGTTGCTTTGATCACTACTCCAGACTCCCTTGTCCAACTACCAACTCTGTTCCTCTCCTTGGCAACAGTCTGAGACAAGATCAATCTGTTTGCAACCTTGGTATAATACTTGTTCCCTGGCATCTTTCTCACTACATATTTGTGTTATCGCTCAAAATAACTATTCCAACTTCACTAACATCATCTGACTTCATTCCTATCTCAGTTAATCTTCTGCTTAAACATTCATACATTTGTTACCTTTCAACCTGACTATTCCAATACCTTCATGACCAAACTCCCATTATCTTGCCTTCCATGAAATTTGTCATCGCCTGAAGCTCTGCTGGGTTTTTTTATTGTACAAAGTTGCATTCAACTATCACCAGTAGCTGACCTACATTAGGTCCCATTCAAAAAACATTTTTATTTTAAAATAGTTTTTTAATTCCACCTTGGCTTCACTCTTCCTTATCTCCAATCTCCTTCAGCCCCATAATCCTCATAGATATCTGGGCTTATCTGTACCCTCCCTACATCTTTCCTTTCTACGTTGCTTTTGTTCTTCGAGACACTCTTTGAAACCTACCTCTTTGATGAAGCCTTTGTAACCTGACCTAATGAGTACTCTGGGTGGAAGTCCAGTTCACTGAGAGTTGCAGTCACTCAGAGTGTGGCATGTCTTCATTGAACAATAGCACAATGAGAGAGGCAGTGGCTGTTGCTAGTAATGCACCTATCTAAGGTCAAGGATTGCTATGGACAGTCACAGATGAGTGTTTGCAGAAATGGGAGTCATGGGAAAGGGGTTGAAAGTGAGTTTCAGTGACCATCTACCCCCTCCCCTGTTATGTAAGGACCCAAATGGATTTTCTCCTCTGTCCCATAAGTGGGCATCAATTGTCACTTAAGTGTATCAATTAGCAGTAAGGTTGGATAACCAATCATGAGCTTTCCCACCATAGAATGAGGTTTGTGGCTGAAAGGCTGGAAAGCAAGCTCGTCATGGGAGGGCATTAAATGCTGCCAATATTTCATGTGGTTCAGTATCGTGTTTTGTTGAATAATGCATCAGTGAAATACCTTGGGTCGTTTTATTCTGTTAAAGATGCTATATTAATATACATTATGAATGAAATGTTCTTTAGTTTATAGGCAGCTAAGAATTGTTGAAGGGAACAATGTCTCATACACAAGAAGAACTGAACCTCTTTAAAACTAGAAGGACATGGGCATTCTATTTGAGAGCAAATAAGATAATTAAGGCCAAGAATGTCCATAGCTGGAGGATGGAGTGTGTTGTGTTGTATAAGTGTTTTGAAAGGATTAATACTATGGAATGCCCACTATGATCATACCATACCTGGTGGGAGAACAGCTTTGGATATCAACAGAGTAAGATAAGAGATTTGTTTGTAAATTATGCATAAAATTATTTAGTAACAGATCATCCAGATCCTCCTGAGATAGCAAGAACTACAGATGTTGGAGTCAGAGTTAATACAGTGTGAAGCTGGAGGAATACAGCAGGTCAGGCAGCATCAGAGGAGCAGGAAAGTCCTGATGAAGGATGGAAACCTGAACCATCAACTTTCCTGCTCCTCTGATCCTGCCTGACTTGCTGTATTCCTCCAGCTCCATACTGTACTGATTCATCCAGATCCTCCTCCTTGGTCTCTGTTTTTTATATATATATATATTTATATATATCAGTGTAACTTGTACTCAGTTGCTAATATGCAATAACCTATATGCCTCTTCTCACTAGATGAGCAAATAATTTTCTTCTAACGCACCACCCATTCTAAATGAGGATGGTGGCGGTAAATTTAACTCACTTTGAGAAAATAGCATTATGTGATACATGGTCAGTGGTGAGGGTTTCTGATATGACAAAGGCTGGATATATCAAAAGTAAGCAGTGATAGCTGTGGCTTAGATGAAGAGAAATTGAGAAAATATTTTTGAACGGTTTATTGGAGTGAATGCAGTGCGTTATCAGGGAAATTAGAACAGGTTTAACTTGTCTGGCTGGTGACAGTGCTTGGGTTGGTAGTGGAAAGCAAGCTAGTGATCCTTATCACTATTCCCTGACATCTAACCGCAAGGCATTGATGTGATGTTCGGCACCATTTCCAACAATACAAGTATAGCGGAGTTTTTTTTGTCGAGTTGGTCTCTGAAAGACATTATCAGCTTCAATACTCAATACATTCAACACAATTGTTAAAATGTTGGATTAGCGATTGCAGAAATTCGTTCAGTGAGGAATCCTATGGTTAATCCTACGGATAGACCTCTATCAGCACACAGAGCAACTAACAAACAAACTAGCTATGTCCTGAAAAAGTTTATTGGAGTTCTAGTTTTTTTAAAGTCATTTTCTTCCATGAAGTCCTGGAATGATGCTAGGTGGAGCCATCCGTAACTTTGAGCACCTGCTGTTACGTCCATGTGTGACAGTATCAACAAGCTGTTCTGTCATGTGGTAGCTTCTGTATGTACAGACAAAGACCAGCAGAGGTCAGTAGACAGCAATCAGGCTGCAGGAAAATGGGCAATATATATATTGTAAAAAGTTTGTATTTTGGGTCCAGTGACCCTTCTTCAGTTCTGAATGTTAACTCTGATTTCTTTACACAAATGCTGCCAAACTTGCTGAGCTTTTCCAGCAATTTGTTTTTGTTTCTGATTTCCAGCATCTGCAGTTATTTCAGTTTTTATATATTTGAAAAACTTGCCTAGCTCTGAGGCCAATTACAGCACTCGTGGCTGAGAATAGCCAACTCTGCATAAATCAGGAATTGATGGGAACTTTGGATCAGGACCGGCACAACCACTAAGCTGTTGCCTGGAGGAGTAATATTTGGGTGGTGCAAAAAAGTATGAACTATTCATGAAACTGCATGAGTAAAAAGCAGCTTCAGCAGTGGGAATGAAAGATTTAGATCTACTGATCTACATCCACTTGTACTGACACATAGGTTTAGATGCATTTATATTTCTGTCTTTCTGAAAATTTCATATCTATGTAGCAGTTTTGGAAATCTGTATATCTACATGACAATTCTGAAAACATGAAAGGGTGTAATCTATTATAATTTTTGTGTAAATTGTGCACAACATCATTTCGAAACAGTTGCATGAACACCCTGCGAACCACCCTATACATTTTAATGTTCATTTCTTATACACAGCCTGTGAAAAGTCTAAAATAATGATAATGTACAGTCACTATCATAATATTTTGCTTTATCATATGAAATAAATCTAACTATAAATGCTGTTTTTTATCAGAGTAATGTACAATATTGATTTTCAAAAATTAATCCGTGGGTGCGGATGAGGGTAGAGAAGGATGGGCTCACAAGCTAAAAGATTGTGCAGGACCCTTAATGCCTTTGCACCAGCCCTGTTTCGCAGTACATCTATGTAATGCCTTTTAAAAATTAAGCTAAAGTAGCCCTGAATCTCACTCTATTTAAGAATGGTTCTCAAGTCAGCTGCAGGAATATGGTCATTTATTTGAGAGTAAATGTCTGTAGCAGCTTAACTTGGTTATAAGTTGATATTATTGGAAAACTTTTGAATCAGAGAATCCCTACAGTGGCGAAACAAGCCATTCAGCCCAACATGCCCACACTAACTCCCTGAAGAGCATCCCACCCAGACTCACCCCCTACCCTATCTCTTCCCTGCAACCCTCACAGTTAATCCACCTAACCTACACATCCCCGGACACTACAGGGTAATTTAGCATAGCTGATCCACCTAACCTGCACATCTGTGGACTGTGGGAGGAAATCCTTGCAGATACAAGGAGAATGTGCAAACTCCACACAGATAGTTATCCAAGGTTGGAACTGAACCCAGGTCACTGGCACTGTGAGACAGTACTGCCAACCACTGAGCCACTGTGCTGCCAGCTTAGTCCACAGCAGGTCTGGGTTAAATCTATTTGTCTGGAATTTACTGTTTTATTTCTTGTGATTGTACCTTTGCTGGATGTTACTTTAAGGTTACATTTGAAAAATGGCTGCTTTGTGGAGCAAAGGAAAGAAGAGGATGCAAGTTAACAGCAATGACACAGCCTAGAGATTTCAGCTTCAGTTTTTATGATGTTAAAAAATGAATTTGCATTATCTCATTTTAGAAGTATCACGAAACACGATTGAAAAGCATCATGTTGCCATTTGTCTTGGATTTTCTGGGTCAAAGGTAGTGATCTCCATGTGAAGAAGGCCTACAAAAATAAAAGCACAAACCGTTACTTAATGTGCAACAATATCCGTTGAAACAGACTGTTATTTTCCTCACAAATCTAATCTTTGAAAATTGGTGGGTATTTGGACAACCACATTAGCCTTTATATACTTACTTGATATCCTATGACGATATCCCTATTTCTGGCCATGCGCAGGAAAGGTTTAGAACATATACTGCTCCCTTCCTATTGATATGCAGCAAACCAACCCCTTCCTTGCCACTAATAGCTCTCCAGCTATTTCCCAGTTTTATAGTGATCAACTATTCCCAAATTTGGTACAGCACAGGTGAGACCTAAGCCAGTGTACTCTGCCCCCTTTTATTCGTTAAACATGGTAATGTTCCTGTTTTGTATTTCACTATTATGTCAATATGAGATGTAGGGCACACTCAATTGCAACCACCCAAGCTCAAAACAAAACTACGCTTTGTACTTCACATCCATTTCAATAGTGGACACAACTGATCCTGAAGGAACTTGGATCATACCCTCTGACTGGCCATTTCCAAATGTAGGGCTCAATGATAATGACAAGTATTATTCCATTCGGGTGAATGCTCCAAATAGCAAAGACAGATAAGTAGCTTCACTTCCGTCCCCCACAAGATCATGCTCTAATCTCACATCTGATTGTTGTTCTCAAAATTACTCATTCTAAGCAAGTGGCTTAGAGAACTTACGCAGTTCATGTCATAGCATTGGGAGTAAGCTATGAGGAATATTGATGCACAAATATATGTTACAAAGGAAACATTATTGCAGGAGTTCAGTCCAATTATGTGTCAATGCCTTCCCAAATCCAGCGGAAAGCTTTTAGAAATCAGTGCAGCAAAACCAGTGAGATGGTTTGCACAAGAGATGTGTGCATCCTTAAGTTAGGACAGAAACATATATCTTACTTGCACTCTTAATGTCAGAAAGAAACAGCAGAAAGTTTTAGCCATGTTATATATGTTAACTGAAATGATATATTCCCGCAATAAGCTTGTAACAATGTGATCAGAGTTTAAATAAACACCGAAAAAGCAGTGACACTAATCAGTACAAATTCAATTATCCATCTCTACATCTTCTCAGTTTTTCTCATACCTGCACTTTATAGGCAAGGAACAGAAAATTCATTTGGAAGACCATGGATTTTAAATAACCTATGTAATAAAAAAAAGTGACTGGATACATCTTTAAAAGTAATTGCTTTTCAGCCCCATGGGATGAGCTATATGAATCTTTACATGCACTAGGGCATTCAACATACTGGAGAACAAGCAACCCACTATTGAACGAGACTGAGAGAAGCCGTGTTACCTCTAGTCAGGAAAAATCAACTGCTATTTAGCTATGTGGAATAAAATATCAGCAGCTATTTCCATCTGGGATTTCTGCATTGCTAGAGATAAGTTACCAGCGAAGGAATTACATTTTGAGCCCATCATGATAGTGGTAAAATCTGGCCTATCAATTTCAACTTCCATTATCAGATTTTAATACCTGAGATTCTCATGGACAGAATGTTTTTTAAGAAAGAGAAATTACTGATTTAAGATGGTCTCTGTGATCATCTGAACATCTTGAGCATCAAGGAACTAGTGTGAGATAATTAGTCTGAGCCAAAATTAATGTTTCATCAAAAGGCAATAAAACCCAGTCAGATGTGAAGAAACTCTTGTCTCCTATTTTTGATTTACACTGTTCTGGAAGTTTCACAGACTGGGATGAACATCACCTGCAGGTTACATAGCTTGAAAGAACAACAATACTAAATATAGGAATACACAGGTGAACTATATTTCAGGCAAAACAGTTTTTGGGCAGAGAGAAGAAAATGGATTCATAACAGCAGAGCTGAAGCCTTGTCCTCTGTTTCCCTGTGCCTTGACCTCTCCGATGATGATGACTACTGAAATGCAAGTCAGAGAAACACCCATTCACTGAGTTCAAGTATATCTACAAACTTTGCTACTACTGAGGATACAAATCATTATTTGAAGGACTGTTGTGTCAGGTTATGTAACCCAAAACCTAAAGGATTCTGGGACTTTTTAAGCTGCATCTTCTTGATTGTCCTGTTTCTACTAAACACTCCTTTTTTAAACTTTATACTTGTGTTTGTGTATGTACTTTATGTCATGTTTTATTATTTGTCACAGGGTTAGCAAGTAATAAAATTCCTCTCTCACTCAAGAAAACTTGGTAACTGGCTCCTTCACTGTAATCTACTTAATGACATTTTAGTTGTTCTTTAATATACCTGTAAGCTAAAAATCAATAAAAACATTGTTGCAACAGACTGAGAGGGGATCAGGAAGAGGGAAGCCAATTCACACATCCTCACCTGGTCATATCAATCCATGGATTAACTAGCTCTTTCTTACAAAGCTATATAGAATGTGTATTTTGGAAGTATTCTAATGCACAATGCCATGGGAGTACTAAGTAATTTATGCCTATGCCCACACAATAGATAACAGTTCTCCCTGTTGGCATGAAGAGTCAAGTGAGGGTAGATTCTCAACTCACTGGGAGGTTGTGAATATTACAGGAATCATAAACCCGTGCTGCTCTTCCATCCCACGGATGGAAGGCTGGGAACATTACCTCTCCACTCCATTTCAACCATGGACAGTCACTATACTGAGTTCTAAAAAGTAGGAAATGTCCATTACAAAGTGAGATACACTAAATAAAACTTACTTTTCCATTCTTCAATCTTTAGGTCCAGATTTTCAAAGGAATCATCATATGGTTCTGCCACTGGCTCATTAGCTGGATCATGATATTCAGTAAGATATGGATGTGCTAATGCATCACAAGCAGTAATTCTCTCATCGGGGTCTAGGTGCAGCATCTTTTCCAGCAAATCAACCGCTAGAAAGGAAGGGGGAAGAGACAGAAAAGGACAAGTTAATATAGTCTCAAGCTTTAGGACTATACATCCAGGATACACAGATATTGATGCACAAAATCATTCCACACCCATTCCCTTGAACAAAGTGATCAGTACTTTCAACATGAAGATTCCTATTTAGCCTATTTTCACATTGTTCTTTAATTATAACTTGTCTCCTTTTTTAATGAATTTTTGTCACCTGTCTATTCTATTCCTCTTACCTCTATGGAACTACAGTCTCCAAGCTATTTATTGTCCTGAAGAATGTCAATTTATTATAGAGAAAATGGAACTAGCCTTGTGTAATTGCCCCCACTTTAGCAAACCCTTCCCTCACACACCCCCAAATTAATTTAGCCAGTAAATCCAATACCTTGTTTATTCATTGTGGGAAAAACCTGCTGGAAATCTTTCTTCTGTTTTGGTGTGAGCGAGCAAACATAGTTTCTTGCCTGAAAAGATCCAGACATGTTAATTGCAAATAAAGCTTATACAATCAGAAGAACACAACTAAAGAAGGAGTAGATCATACAGTTCATTGCTCTGCTATTCAATACAATCATGGCTGGGATTAATATTTTAATTATTGTTATATGTGGACAATTTCTAACTGTTTACCTATAGCTAGACTAAAATTATTTTTAATAAATAATTATTAGTGTTCCGTACAGAAATCTGGTCTGTGATTTCTATCAATCAGGGTGTGAAGGTCAGGTAAATTGGGAAACTTTTGTACTTTACAAAATCTTTTAAGTTGTGTGATGACTCCAGGAATAGTGGGACTTGATTTCCAGCACACTACCCCAGTGAGTTGTAATACCCTTTCAGGTGAACTTGTTTCTCTTCATCTCGGGCTAAAATGATCGTTCCCTTACCATGGGACTGTTCTCCCATGTTTTAGATGGACCAGTGGAAACAATCTCTCAGCGTTTATCCTATTAAGCCCCTTTGGAAAATTGTATGCTTCAATGAGATCACCTCCCATTCTTCTAAATTCCAGAGAATATAAGTCCCAACCACTCTCTTATCTCAGGTACCAATATCTGGTAAACTATGTCAAATGAAGAAACCCAAAGTTCAGTGAACATTCCACATCTCTGTTACTTTATTAAAAGCAATTCAGGCTTGACTTCACCACGGCTTAGTGAGTAAATTCAGACTGTATTTGAGCCACATTCGCCAGCACATTTCCAATGAAAATCCGTGCTGAGATCTCTGATCTCATAGACCCAGAGACTCAGCACACCATTATGTCTGCACTGGTCAACAAAGCTCTGACTACATTAATCCCACTTTCCAGCTTTTGCCTCACAGCCCTGGAGGCTACCGCAATGCAAGTGAATATCTAAATACTGCTTAAATGTTATAAGAGTTTCTGATGTGGCCACTCTTTCAGGCAGTGGGTTCTAGACTCCCTCCACTCTCTGGGTGAAAAAAATATTCTCAACTTTCCTCTTAAGCTTCCACCTTAAATCTATGCTCCCTAATTATTGACAACTCTACTAATGGAAAAAAGTGCCTTCCTATCCACTCTATCTATGTCCCTCATATTACATACTTATTTCAAGTTCTTTTTCAACTTTTGATTCTCCAAGGAAAACAACCTCAGTCTGTTCAATCATTCCTCTTTGCTCAGACACTCCACAACCCATTGTTCCAAGGTGGCAGCGAAGTAGGACACTCCAGCGGGAGATTGTCCGCTCCATTCATTCCTTTTCTATATTTTTCTCTCTCATGTTCATTGTTTCTCTTTTGTCTTTTTCCTTTGCGCCAGCGGCCCAGAGCATAACGGAGTCAGCCAGTGGCTCAGGGCGACCGAGGATGGTGGCCTGCAGGCCAGGAGCAAAGCAGGGATGACCAGTAGCCTGGAGCGGAGCAGGGGTAGCCGGTGGTCCGAAGCAGAGTGGGAACAGACAGAGACCTGGAGCGAAATGGGGATGATCAATGGGCCTGAAACAAAGATGGCTTCTGGTTGGGAACCAGTTGAACCCAGTCAGACCATGTGGAAGCCCTTATAGGAAGGCTAAAATGTCTTTTTTTTAAGCTATTTCTTATTTTCCTAACTTATACAATGTATATCTCTAATCTGGTGTAACTTTTTTCTTTACTTTCTCCATTTTTTGTATGTCAGATTTTTACCTAAGATGGTGCCACGTGTTGGTGACATTCTGCACTTTTCACTGTACTTCTGTTCTTTTGTAACTTGAGTACACGTGACAATAAACCTGATTATAATTCTAAAAATTCTAAGTATCCTAGCAGATTTCCTCTACATCCTCTCTAATGCATTTGCATGCTTCCTAAATGCAGTGACCAGAACTGCATACAATACTCCAGTTATGGCTTAATCAGCAATTTATACATTTCCAGCATAACCTCCCTCCTCCTGTATTCTATGTCTCAGCCAGTAAGGAAAGCATTCCATATGCTTTCTCAACCACCTTATATACCTGCCCTGCTACCTTCAGGGATCTGTAGAAATGCGCATCAGTGTCCCTTTGATCTTCAGTACTTTCCATGATCCTACCATTTCTAGTATTATTCCTTGTCCTGTTAGCCCAACTCGAGTTAGCCTTACGTCACACTTTTATGAAGTTGAATTCCATTTGTCATTGGTCTGTGCACCTGACAAGCCCCTTGATATCCTCCGAGGAACAGGAAAGTCGATGTTTTGGGTCAGGGCCCTTTATCAGAACCTGACCCAAAACGTCAACTTTCCTGCTCCTCTGATGCTGCCTGACCTGCTGTGTTCCTGCAGCTCCAAACTGTGTTGACTCTGACTCCAGCATCTGCAGTTCTTGCTATCTCTTTGATATCCTCCTGCAATTTATACGTCTCAACTGTGATGACAGCAGGAATCCAATAATAAGGATCAATCCCCAAGAAGGGATCAATTTGCCTGACTTCTTACATTTGGGCACTGTTCAGGAACTGCTGCTGGAGAGGACAAATGCAAAAACCAGCTGGTGAAAGTATCAGCTTATCACTTAATGCCTGTTCAGTCATATAGATTGTTACTCGGTCTTGGCTTATGCTAAATGAATGGTCATTTGACTAAAGTGCACAGTCTGTCAGGAGGTAATGCTGTCAGAAGAGGACATGGAGTGACTAGCAAATGCTTTCAAGTATTAATACAGCATATACAACTGCAGAGAGAAAAATATTCCCAGCATCTTCTGGAAATGTATTCTTATTCTCCAACAAAATTCTACCATGATCTAACAAAAAGTGATCTTTTTCTTTATATTACTTACAGTATTGTGGCTTAGTAATGGTCATCCTGTCTTTGACAAACAGTAGGTTGTGGGTTGAAATCGACACTCAAAAAAGAAGTAAACTCATCTGACACTCCAGGGAACACTTTACTGTTGGAAATACTTTCAGATTAAGTGTGAAACTGAGGTCCCATTCACCTTCTCAGCTGAACGGAGTATACCCATAGTACTTTTTCAAAACAGAGCAGGGGTATTTGTCAATGGAATGGCCAATATTTTGAAAGACGGTTTGTGTAAACTCATACATACCTCTTCACTCTGCATCTTATCCACAAGGGATTGTGGTGGTGTTCCTGTGACATTCATGATCTTCTTCAGTTGATCAAAATCTTCAAGGAAGAGTTAAAAGAATTATCAAAGTAATTGCCATAGAGACTAGAACTTGGGGACACAGGCTATAAATAATGGATGAAAAGAAAAGTGCTGGAGAAACTCAGCAGGTCTGGAAGCGTCTAGAGTCATATAGCACGGAAATAGACACTTCATTCCAACTCACCCATGCCAACCAGATTTCCTAAACTGAACTAGTCCCATGCGCCTGCATTTGGTCTATATTCCTCTAAACCTTTCTTTATCCATGTACCCGCCCAAATGTCTTTTAAATGTTGCAATTATACTCGCCTCTACCACTTCCTCTGGCAACTCATTCCGTATTATATATCATATATGTATATATGGAATCACATCTGTACCTATAGGTACAGAAACAGAATTAATGTTTCAAGTCTGATACGACTCTCCTTCAGAAGTTCTGCATGTGTTTAAATGGGGTCATAAAGTAAAATAAATCTGAGAAAAAAAATAAAATTTTCATGATTCTTTAGAAATTTTTAAAATTTAGACCCACCATTTGCTTTAAATAACAATTAACAGATTATATAACCCACTGCAGTTACAGCGTAGATATAACTAAATTCAGAGCCAGATTGCAAATTGGCATTGGAGTGAAGAGCAGATAGAGTCCTTTGCTTTCGAGTCAGTTCTGGTGCTGATTCCTGATTTACAACTGACAATATTAAAGGCCAGGCAAAGCTAAACATCATTACCTTTCGACTTCACTTCAGAAGTTTCCAATTAAGCCGAAAGTAATTGTTTCACCTTGGAGAGGCAGGGAATAAATAAAATGTGTTCCACCTGAACCTGTTTTTGAGCAAAATGCATTGGTTGTTTCTGAAAACTGCATTCATCCAGCAGCGGATAAAGCTTCTTCCCATTCAAATTAACCGATCAGTTAGTATTCCACTCAAGGATACGGTCAAATCCGGGAAAAATCACTGATCTTGTGACCATCTCAGCCAAGATGCAGCCCACTGACCAAATATCCACTGCACGGGAGGATAAAAGAATAGAAACCAACAGTTAGACAAATACAACAGAAATAACAACAATGTACTTCAAAAAAATAAATAATTGCACTTTTGTTGAATGTGATGAAACACTGGACAAATGCAAGAATTATATTATTGTAAGAACTTTTTCATCCTCCTTCTCCCTTGGCTGCCCATCATGTTTTCCATTCACCCATCACCTCCCTGTGTTCGAGAAAGTAGTAGTATTTTCTGACAATACAACACTATAATTGTACAGAACACAAGCCAAAAGGTGAAGAAGAGAAACGTGAGTCAAGCAGCTTCTCTGAAGAAGCAGAAGACAGTTAGTCAATGTTTTAGATCTCTTCCAGACTTATTCTTTTGAAAACTTACTTCTGTAACCCTAAAGATTTTGACTGTTCTGCTATGGATCCCAGACTTTTCATTTTATTTTTAGATTTCAGAAATCATTATCAGGAAAAGATGAACAGAGAAGGCCTCTTTTCTCTTGAAAAGAGAAGATCCAAAGATGGACCTAAAGCAGTAGACACAGAAAGAACATTTCCACTTCTGGGAAAGACCACATTTAGTTAGTCACCTATAAAGCAGTTGAAGAATTCAGAAGAAATTTCTTCAACCAGAGAGCAATGAGTATGTGGAACTCACTGCCCTATGGATTAATTAAGATCAATAGTTTGGTTGCATTTAAGGGAAAGTATATGAGGGAGAAGGGGAATTGAGGCTCATGATGATAGCATCAGATGAAGAAGGATGGGACAAGACTTGACAGAGCATAGATAGCAACAAGGACTGTTTGGACATGTTTCTTGGCTGTATATTTGGTTATCTGTAGCATTTTGCTTTTTGTCTAAAATGCATGGACTTGGTACCTTGCGGTTGGTTTGTAAATTATTATAGAATAATTGAGAAACTCTTCCACAATTATCAGGAATGCCCTACATTTCCAAGTTCCCATTTTTTCATGAGTGGGCATGAACAGCAGGCAAAATGGCTATTCAGCCTTAGCAACAGGGTCCAAATGTAACTCCATGCAAATGAGTGGGTTTTGAGACAAGTTAGAATTTCAGCAACTGTGTCTCTCATTCTCAACACACATGAGAAGATGGTGGTGGAGTGGCCATGACAGTGGACATGTAATCCAGAGGTCCAGACTTTGGGAGCATAGGTTCAACTTCCACCATAATATCTCATTGAATTTAAGTTCAATTAATAAAATCTGGAATTGAAAGCGAGTTACAATAATGATGCCGTGAAGCTGCAAAACTGTAAACCCATCTGGCTTACTAATGCCCTTTAGCGAAGGAAACTGCCATCCTTATCTAGTCTGGTCTACGTGACTCCAGATCCATAGTAATGTGATTGATTCTTAATTGCCCTCTGCAGCTAATGGCCTAGCATAGCCCTAGGCTCCATGGAAATTAAGAAAAGGCAACAAATGCTAGTCCTGTTAGGAACACCCATAACCCCATGAATGTCCAGGAAACAAAAGCCAACTGAATTAATATTGAATGAATATTGCTATTAATACCACTGGTACCAGCTAAGATCAACTAACTAGCAGTCAAATCCTACATGTGCGTCACAGATCCTGACTGGATAAACTCAGTGAACTATGTGGGCTGCATCATTATACTTTCAGATTACCCTCAAATTCCCACCTGAATAACTGTAGTGCATCCAATTCAGAATGATCTCAGGAGGTCGGTACCAGCGAGTTATAACGTAACCCGTCATTTCTGTCTCAGTCGGACGAGCTAGTCCAAAATCTAAGATCTGAGAGGAAAGTTATTTAGAAAAATGGGTGCTGACCCTTTTTTTTGACAACCACCATAACAATACTTTTCTCACAGCAAATAAAAACAAACATATAGGACAGAACAAAAATACTGAAGCTCAAAGTTCAAAATAACTAATTATTGATGAGTAATACATCAGCTCCCCTCTGTTTCTTGGAATAATAAGTCAATCTAGAATCCTGAGATCATTCTGATCACTTATAACATGTTTAATATAATTAGTGATTCAACAAGGCAGTTGCTGATTCAAGCTCAGGAAAGGATGAAGTTTGTTTAGATTCAGTTACATTCACAGAAGGTATCAATCTGAATAGGGTTCAATCAGTTTGCCACTTAATGCCTTCCACTAGAACTCAGTCTGATTAACTCTAGTCTGACTAACCTCCATTAGTGTTGCATATGGGTCTGGAAGGAACTAAAAGGGTTAATATTTGATTGAATGCAGCAAACATCACCCACTGTGATGATGTCATGATTTAGTGGGTGAGTAAAGCATGATTGTGTGGGAGACAGATCAAAGGCGAGACTCTCCCAACGGTCTTTATAGAAATGTACAGCCTATTCTTATAACCTGTAAATATTTGCAGATATGCAATAATGACATCTTGTTTACTCTACTAGACCCTTCTCACTAGATCAAATGGTGGCAACGCTCATACATGCAAGACTACACAAGCACCTAAAGAACCCACACACTGAGAAGGTATGGATAGCAGTACACACCACAGTGATTTCTTTGAGGACGTGACAAGTTTGGCTTCATGTGCTTCTCTCATTTTAATCACTTCACCACTGGCTGCCTTCCCTTCAGTTCCCTAGGCCCTAAGCTTTGGAATTCTCTCCCTAAACCTCTCTGTTTCTTCACCCAGCATTCCTCCTTTAAGATATACCTTGGTCATCTATCTGAATATCAGTCCTTGTGATTTGGTGTCAAATTTTGTCTGATAATGTACCTGTGAAACATCTTGGAGGCTTTATGATGTTCAAGGCTCTATACAGATGCCAGTTGTTGTTAATTATGTAATATTTGCCCTGTTTCGAAATGTTATTGTGTTACTTAATTGTATATTTAAGTCTCACCAAAATATGATCTTTTGTGTTATAATGTGACAAACATAAATCAAAAATACAAAAAATTAGAAACATATAACTAAGATTTAAATAAAAATGACTTCAGAGATGTTTCTACAATATCTCAACACCAAGAAAATTCAAACATAGGCCAACATGTGTTGCACATCACCAATTTCCATTGAGAAGATGTAACTGCTTAAACCATTACAAGTCCCTGTGGTGTAGGTACACCCACAGGGCTGTTAGGAACGGAGTTCCATGAGTTTGATTATATCAAAAAGCACAAACCTGAATTCTCGAATAAAAGTTCCAAAGAAGAGTCATACTGGACTTGAAACACTACACTCGGTTTCTCTCTCCACAGATATCGCCCCACCTGCTGAGCTTCTCCAGCACTTTCTGTTTCTCCCTGGCCCAGTGTGTGATGTTCTCTCTCAGTTTACGGTCGTATCTCACATGAATACATTGCCCTCCTCAGTTCATGTTTCTCTTCCTCTATTCAATCTCCATCTGTGTTTCTCCATCCCCCTTTGTCAGGACCCAGATATGTTAGGAGCGAACACAGTAGGATTTTATTTAATTTAACTCAGAACTCTTCAGTACCAGCAAAGAAAAGGAATCTTCATCCTATCGATCTGGGCAACAACAACATCAATTTTCATTTTTCTATTCACATAATTTTGTTGCCCATTTTTTGCACAAACAAATGTAATGGAATCTGATAAACATCCCAAAACACTTTCTTAGAGTCATAGAACTGTACAGCATGGAAACAGACCCTTCGGTCTAACTCATCCATGCCAAACAGATATCCTAAATTAATCTAGTCCTATTTGCCAGCTTTTGGCCCATATCCCTCTAAACCCTTTCTACTCATACACCCATCCAGATGCCTTTTAAATGTTGTAATTGAACCAGCCTTCACCACGTCCTCTGGCAGCTCGATCCATACACACAATACCCTCTATGTGAAAAATTTGCCCCTCAGGTCCCCTCTAAATCTTTCCCCTCTTACCTTAAATCTATATTTTCTAGTTTTGCACTCCTCCTCCTGATGAAAAAGGCATTGGTTATTCACCCTATCTATGCCCCTCATGATTTTATAAACCTCTATAAGATCACCCACAAGAAAAAGAAAGCACATACATTAATTATTTTGACAGTTTTGGAAAACAGAGCATTTCTCCCCCTTAAAATTGTATGGTACCACTCACATTTAGTGTTTTCAGTGCTCTCCTGTTTTCTGTGTTCAATTGAATGTGAAATTAGTTTCATTAATTTATACTTACCTTCAGTTCACAGTTCTGGTTCACTGCTAGATTGCTAGGTTTGAGGTCCTGCAAAGAAAGAATAAAAATAACTATCTTTCAGAGCTTCACGCACAGATCGTAGAAAGGAGGCCACTTGTTCCATCATAACCTTGCCAACTGGCAGATTGCCATCCAGCCTAACTATGCTTTCCATCTCTTTGTCTATAGCCTTGTAGATTATGGTGCTTTAAATGCCAATCTAAAGACTTTTAAAACATTGTAAGGATTCCTACCTGGGCCTTCCTTTCAGGCACTGCATCCCAGAACCCACCAATCTGAGTGAAAATGTTTCCTCTCAGATATCTTCCAAAACTCCTGCCTCTAACTTTAAATCTCTCCCTAGGTTGTGGCTCATTCAATCAAGGAAAATAGTGCTGCCTTATTCATTCTATAACACCCCTCATAATTTCATACACAGTATCCCAACATACTGGGAGTTGGTTTAGCTTGTCTGCCTTAGATGCTTGGTTTGCAAAGCAGTGCGATGCCAACAGTGTGGGTTCAATTTCCAACACCAACTAAGGTTACCATGAAGTGCTCTCCTTCTCAAACTCTTTTATTGCCTGAAGTATATTGGTCTTCAGGTTAAATCACCACCAGTTGTCTCTCTCTAATGAGACAGCAGCCCTATGGTGTGGGAGGACAATGGTGACACAACAAGATCAACATATTGCCATCAATTATCTCAGTAGAAGAATCAATATCTTTCATTTGCTAATTTTGGTAAAATTGTTCAAAAAATTCCTTCCCAATTATTGTGGAGGGCGGTAGTCCATTGGTTTTAAAGTCAAACTATGGTTAGGATTTTGACTTGTCTTGGACTGATTCTCAGACTCATTGCTGAGGAATTTCTGTCATTCACTTTTGGGATGAAACCTTAGATTGTCTGGTTGGAAGCTCCTGTCAACTGAAACTGAGATTTGACTATGGATCCTTTGGTCAGAGTTCTCGTAGGTTTGGACTGAGATTTTAGCTGGTATTCCCCAGCTGGAAATGTAAATAGCGAGGCTCTAGATTCACCTTCTTCTATTAGGGATATTCCATTGCTTTCAACCAGGAATGATTAAAAGCCAGAAATGATCCCATCTATTTTGTAAGCAACACCAACTAAACAACAGTGTGGATAGGGATCTCAGGTCTGTAGAAGCCTCAAAGAAAAGAGGCTGGGAACATTTCTTTTCTTACCTTTTAAAAGGGACAATCTGAATAGCATTGAGACAAAGGTATCATTTTACAAGGATTCAAGCAGAGACTGTGCAGTCGACCAATTGAATGAGGTGGAATAATCCCTATAAAAGTAACTTGTATGTTACTGTACTATTACTGATGGTATAAATAGACCATATAGAAGGATAATGTTATCTGTGGTTTATGAGGTGGTCATTATTTCCTGCCAGAAGAAACTGTATTCACCATTCCCCATTATGGATTCCAAGGGGACATTCTGTAAAGGGTTATGAAAAAAAGTGCCTTACCCTGTGCACAATCCCAGCAGAATGGATGTACTGTGGAAAGAAAACAGTCAGAATACTAGTAAATACCAAAGTAAAAGCCTTACTTCTTGACATTGAGATAAAAATATTCCTCTTTTTGAATGAATAATTTGATTCACTTTTAGGATTCAAAATGAAGGTCACTGTATTTTGAGTGGGCATGGGGAACACCAGTGTACTCAGATCTGGAGATGAGTTTTACTAATGCCATTGCATATGAAAAGTGTCCAAATCTTCAGTGAAGATTAAACTTCCACTGAATATGCAGTTGTAGCATAGGCCAAGCACACGTAATGAGGGACTTTTGAAAACTCCAACTCTTGGATTTTTTTTCAGTGGTGATTTGTAAAACGTTAGGAAACGTTAAGAAAAAAGGCTGTGAAATGTGCCATCACTTTGATACTAAATACTAAGTGTGGAGATGTTTGCATTTTGCACTTGTGGTGCTAAACAAATGTTGAAGAGACATAATAATTACAGACTTGTAGTTAACAGAATAATACATTGTGATTATTACACACAGTGTATGATCCATGAACATAAATTGTAAAAGGGATATATTATGTGCAATGATCATGATATCTTATTTGTAACAGATGTTGTAAAATTAGTACACTATATGAAATGAATATCATATACTGTTCAAACACATAGCCAAAAATGAATATACCACACACAATAATCAAAGTATCTGAAATAAAAACAGAACACGTTGGAGAAACTCAGCAGTCTGGCATCATCTGTGGACAGAGAAATCGAGTCCAATATGATTCTTCTTTAGAGCTTGCCTCAGGATTGGCCACATAGATAATGTTTGAGTTTATAAGATGTGTATTCAAAGATATCCTACAGAATTACAGCCATGCGTGTCTCTGTGAGTGTATGGGACACCTGCTTGAGGGAAGTTCTGAAGAGCTATACAGAACTCTCCACCCACAGATCAACGAATACCACTCACGCTTGGACATAGAGCAGTTTTTCCGCCGCCTCCGCCTCCGCCTCCACGCTTACTTCTTTAACCGTGAACCTAACCCTCCCTCTACTGACCCCTTCTCTCGCTTCCAACACACCCCCTCCTCCTGGACACCACCCCAAGGCCTCCTACCCTCCCTCGACCTCTTCATCTCCAACTGCCGTTGAGACATCAATCGCCTCAACCTCTCCACCCCTCTCACCCACTCCAACCTCTCCCCTGCAGAACGTGCAGCCCTCCGCTCCCTCCGCTCCAATCCCAACTTCACCATTAAACCCGTGGACAAGGGAGGTGCAGTTGTAGTGTGGCGCACTGACCTCTACATCGCCGAGGCCAGACGCCAACTCTCCGACACCTCCTCCTACCGCCCCCTTGATCATGACCCCACCCCTGAGCACCAAACCATCATCTCCCAAACCATCCACAACCTCATCACTTCAGGTGACCTCCCATCAACGGCCTCCAACCTCATCGTTCCCCAACCTCGCACTGCCCGCTTCTATCTCCTTCCCAAAATCCACAAACCTGAATGCCCTGGTCGACCCATTGTCTCCGCCTGCTCCTGCCCCACCGAACTGATCTCCAACTATCTAGACTCCATTTTCTCCCCCTTGGTCCAGGAA